CGCTTCCCATGTCTCTTTTTAATCCAATGCGATTTCAGGGCAGCAAAACTGGAAATATTCTGAATAATGCAATCTTTATGACATTAACACAAACTAGTACTACTTCACATCAGCACATTTGAAACAATATTTCATACTTTGGGCATTTGAAACTGCAGAAACAAGCTCCAAGATGAATTATTTTTTGTGCGATACCCTAAAATCAGCCCAGGGTCCTTCCAGGAACCATTTTCCGTCATTTTCTGCTCCACGAGGGATAGTGTGGTTTCAACTCAGTATATAGACAAATGACTAGAATATTGGTTTTGAAAAATCGGATTTCCAAGCCCTAAAAACTGCACTGGATGCAATTAACTATATAGTCACCGTGATAGTTGCCTATGACAGATGTAGAATGTAGGAGGTCGTGTGTCTGTCATGGTCCCAGAATGGTTAACTGAATGGGCGGAGTACCGAACATCACAACTCCAGACCCCCCGCTCGATGTTGATATAAACAGTAGTTTGAGTAACTTACTGTGTTCCCCACGGGTCCTTTTGTATATGGACCCATCAGTCTGTGAAGTATTATCTCCCTTTTTCCTTTCATACCGCCGACTGTGCGCCGGTCTGGTGTTTTAACCAACAGTTGATCGCTTTATCAGAAAATCCAGATCTCATGCAGAAACGAAAACTTGAAATTGCAAAACACTCCATTAATTTCTATACATGAATCTACGGTGCTTTTCTGAAACTGTACTAGAAACTTCATCGTAGTAAATGAGCTTGTTGTGTTCACATATTCGGCGGTAACGAACATGTAATATGTCTGCAAAAAGTTACGACCTTCACATTTCTCCAAGTTCTACCTTCACATTTCTTTTCCGCCCATGATCTATGTATCTTTCATATCCGCAAATTAATTTTGACGTAAACAGCATAATTACGACATGTCTATTACTTGAATTATGATAGATTATAACGTGCATTCTACCCCGGTATTTCGGTCAACAAAAAATGTTGTTTTCAAAATCGGATACGATCGAAATTTTCACAATAACGTTAGATGTAGGGTACTGCAACGATAAAGCACAGTTTAACATTTCCCTGAACTTTAAACGAAATACTATATTCCAGCCGCCCTTAACTACATTCCAGTTTTCTCGGTTTTGTGAGGCTTTTGATTTTTAGTGTCTTCAAGTGCAAAAGAGTATTACATAAGAGCATAGCGGTAATATAATATAGCAATTGTGTTCATAATGTCATCAAATTTACAAAAATTCAAGCGGTTCGTCCTATTCCTCAACTGCGTTTCGCTCCAAGTCCAGTTTGGTTTGCAGCACACGCGTTTTTACTTTCCTGCTAAGTACCAAGTGTTAAAGACATCTTATTTAAACCGTATTATGTTTCCAAAATACAACATATATGGCCACGGTACGTTGTTCTCGTATACTATATCGAGTACCCACCATTTTGTTGAGTAAAGATGCAACATTCGTAATATTTTTTTCACTATATAAAACGTATACGTATAACAACACAATTTACATTTTTACCAGTTAATGGTTTAGTAGTTCACATTCTAAACTCTGTAAAAAAACAGCCAAACAACGGAAAATAAATTAAGTTGGAAGCTTTAGAAATGATTTGTCTGATATCTTCTTACGACTAAAATACTATTCGTGTATGACACCGCGCTATATCGAAATAGTCTATCTCTGTAGAAAAAAAAAACTTTGTTTGTAACCCTAAGTAATATCTGCGAAAAGCATGAAAATGTGTATGTACTTGCCATTTATATAAATTCTTTTTAAGAAAATGACGTCGCAAAAAAATACACAAGTAAGTTAAGGTGGCTTCGACTCTCTGGTTTCGACTCGTACAATTACAACAGTTCGCACACAGTAGCCCTTAACTGATGAAGTGGTCAAGCTTAAGCGCCCTTCTATAAAAAGCTCGGAGACACAAATCTAAAATGTACAAATAAGACGACCTACCGAAGCAAACCGAGGAAAACAAGGCAGCATCCCATATTTGTTGTGCAGGGCGTATAGAGGCATCACTGTACCCGTGTTCTTTCTGGGAGTTGTCATGGTTCTAGACTCGATCAAACTTCTGTAAAAACTCAGTCTTCAAACACAACCCTCCTCCTGCTACAACCTTAAGAACCCAGACTGTCTCGCAATCGTCCCGCACTCCTTAATAACTACCGTGACGGGGGAAATTGCACGCGGTTGATCCGTAAATTAGTCTAGCTTGTTTCTTTCCCCCTTCCCGATATCAGGTCTCGATGATTGGAAGTGTGATATGAAAGTTGAGGTTTAATTCAGGCATGTGGGCGGCGCCCATGTGGGATGAGTATTTACATGGAGCACTTAGCCGTCTCTCCTCTAGTCACCAGAGAGGGATTGACGATGTCCCCTGTAGATTATTCGCTAACTATATTAAACCTTCCACGGGACTCAGGCTTTGCTTAAGAATGTTGTTGTCGATGCTAAAGCTTGCTAATTAGTGTAGAGTTTCGTCTTGATAAGGTTTCAGTCATTAAGTTCTCACCACGCGGTTATCCGTCTGGTGAAAGTCTTATATCAGATCACAATCGTGCGGCATCTGTAAATTTGAAAAGACCAGCTCGTTTGCTGTGCTGGAGAGAAATGCGGGGCATCTTGTTGGTTACACCGTGGGTTTATCTAGCTAGAGGGGTTACAAAGTAAAGTCTGCTGTCTACGGGACGGCTACATTATGACGGCGCCAGGCGGGGATGGGGGTTAAAATCGCCCGCGCGACTATTTCTCGCATCCATGTGCGCAAGACATCGTTAGAGAGTCTTCTAGACATGGATGGTTCGTCTTGTCGTTTTACAAAGCTCTTCGTGATCAGGTCTTTACTTCGCCCATAACCCAAAAATGCACATGAAGCAAGTTTAAAATTTACTACTTTTTCTAAAAAGAAAACACTATCCAATGTACGATATTCTCCGTTACTTTTGCGGTTACGCACCTGCTTATTCGTTTAGGTAAGCATATCAGAACACAAATTTCGATTCGTTTGGTTCATATTTCAATGGATTTTTTTTTTCAAAAACATTGGAACAAGCGTCGGAGTCAAATTTTGGAGACATAAGTTGTCCGCAATTCTGGGACGTGAACATCAGAGTCTTAATGTGTCACTGATCGCGTTTAGGGGAAGTTTGAGATGTGTTTGTACCGGAGGATAAGAGGAGAGGACCCACCCCAGACCCGCCCAGTCAGACACAGACGTCCTTAGCACTCACGTGTAGAATTGACGAGAAAATAACTGTAGACAGGAGGGCTGGGCTACCGGCAAGTCTGGCGAAAACAACGGGGGCGCTAGGCACCTTACCACTGGATGTATCTGTATCCGTATAGCCGGTATAACCTCCTTTTGGCGTAACACACCAGCTTCGCGGGCACGCGGCGCGGCGGCAGCTAGCTACATAACACCGAACGCTCTGTTACACTGAATCTTTGCACATTTAATTGCAGGAGTTGTTTAAAGCTTTCTAGTGATGATGCCCCAACTGTGCTTGGTGGTAGCGAGTACCACTCTACAATAGTTCTTGGAAAATACGAGTTTTTTAACACCTCAATTCTTGGTCGATAACTCTGATATTTGAAGGGATGGCTGTTTCTTGTTCTTTTCTGGGCTGGTACATCCACCAGTTTATTATTAGTCATTTTGTACATCATGCATAGTCTGGACATTTTTCGTCTGTCTTCCAGTGACACCCACTGTAGGTTTCTTTTCCTTTCCGTGTCACTGCACGGTCTTTAGAAGCATGATTTGAAAGACACATAACTGTCAAAACCTTTGCACAAGAAAGGGGTAAAAACTTACGCTTTTATGTACGCTCTGTGTACATTTCCATGCAGTTAAAACTCTCTTCATTTTTATATTTAATTAAACTTGATCTTTTTTTTCTACACGAACAGCCATAAATATATCTAGCCACACACATCTAGTCTATGATTTGTTTTTTGACTTCCATATATCGGCCATATAGTTGAACGTAAGCATATATCTAGCTTCGTCCTTAGACAGCCATAAGGCGACAAGTTATACTTTGTCAAGAAGTGTAAGTCTTATATTAGACAAATACGCAAACACGCTACCATTTAGTGTTAACGATAGACCAGCTTAAAAGTTACATTGCCTCGTATCAACCGACCCTTGCCTATCAACTTTACTTCTCCCTTCACAACTTAGATGGCAACTGGTATTACATGTAAAAAAACACCTATAATTTAAGCGTTAGGTTTCCCACAGACAGTTTGCCATTTTAAAAACTCAGCTTGCAGGGCATGCCTTCCTCTGGTAAACGCACGAGGATTTCTTAAAAGTATGTACGTATTTTCATATGCAGGGAAAAACGCATAGAATATCAATAGAATCAGGCGTTATGCATGCACATATATTGAACACTGTGACTTCGAACATTTATTACAAGACATGAGGACTGCACACTCAACTTTTTTTCAACTTATATTTATGCCACCAGCATCTCAGATAAACGCATGACCGGAAAACAGACATAATCATTTTCACCTGAGTAAAGTGAGGAAATTCGGGTAAAGTGCCTTTCCCAAGGGCACAAGATCTTTGGCACGGCAGGATTCGAACTCGGGACCACTTGATCATAACAGAGACTACTCCATACTACAATATGCCTGTAGTACATTCGACCCTTTTTGTTGGTGCAACAGTCTGTCGTAGTCGTGGCGCACAGTTCTGAATAAGAGCCTATTGTTTCGGAAAGAGTGAGCTTCTTTTTTGTTCTAACACGGGCCTAAGGCGGATAAATTATCTTGTCAAACCTGTCATAAGGCTATCTTGATAGAACACAGGAGCATGGCGTCTAAAACAAAGGCATAACCGTGGACCATGGCTGTACTTTGTATTTGCCTAACATCCTGGAAAAGGGTGCGGATGTTGTAGTACACAGCAGTTCCGTACAGTGTTATATCTGTACCAGTCTGAGAGTTACAAACGACATCCACTTACCGGCATTGCAGCAGTTTAAGGTTCACAGAGTAGCATACGAAGTCCCTGCAAGAACTTCTTCCCGACTATACAGTTTTGATCAAACTTCAGAAAACGTATTGATCACTCCCAAAAAGAGCGTTCTGTGCAATCCGCTGCTAAAGTATGAAGTTACGGTACCGGAGCTCGACTTAGCTCGAACGAGATCGGTTTTTATGCTTAGGTGATCAACCATATATTTTTGGCACAAAAAAACTTGCTAAACTTGGGTAAGAGCGTGAATGTGTTTAGCCCTAACCAGCTCCGTCTTCTTGGAATTGCCGCGGAAACGTACAAGAGGGGGCTACGTCAATGGCAGAGACCGCCCCCATAGAATGGAGAGGCGATCACTTACACGGAGCGGTAGGGGTGAGGGACTCTAACCCGGCTACGTTGTTCCCGCGTTAAGTTTTGTTTGTAGCCGCCAACTCTACCGGCGGGAGAAATGTTGACAGTTGTCAGGGACTTGGAGTGTATCGGACGGCAGCGAGTCTCTACTGCGGACACATTCTAGGCTCTACCAGGCTTCGGGAGGCGGATGAAAAGAGTAGAAATTGGCCAACTAGATAGATAACATGCCTGGGGAGTTGGTCCGCTAGAAAGTACAGTTTTAGCAAAGCCTCCCGAAGCCTGGTAGAGGCACATTCTAACCTCTACCAGGCTTCTGGAGGCGGATGGAGAGTAGTAATTGGCTAAATAGAGACATAACATGCCGATGAAGTTGGTCCGCTAGAAAAAGTACACTTGGCAAAGCCTGAAAGAGGCTAGCAACATTCACCCTACGATTTTGTGGTCGTGCATGTCGTAACTATGACACAACGGATCGTCGACAAAGAATTACGACAGCATTTTCTGTCCCAAGAGAGCTGGAATTTGTACCACACATTTACAACTGTCTTAGGAATGCTCATAATTTTCCATTTTACACATGTATATCTGTCGCACGACACATATGACAGGGACCTTGGACTGTTGACTAAAATAACGCAGAAAATAATTCTCGCTATATGACCTTGAATGCGACCAGCACGTTATGTTCTTTTCTAGAAAAAAATTGTTGACTAGAAAAAAGTTCCTACGGGACATTTGTTCGTGCTCAAACAGATTATACGGCACAGAAAAGATTAGACATTGCATTATGCGACAATTCTATATGCGTGGGACTCATGTATCTTTAATTCGTTGCTAGGAACAAACATGCACACACACTCTCACATGTATAAGGAAATATGAGTAAAGAACTAAAGTGTTAAACCCAATGCAATTTCAGGGCAGCAAAACTGAAAATATTCTGAAGAAGGTAATCTTTGTGATATTGACACATTCTGCTCCATATTAGCACATGTACATTTGAGTCAGTATTTCATACTTAAGGCTTAAACAAGCCTCAAGGTTAGGCCTTTAGGTCCTGGGTGGTACCCTAAAAATCAGCCCAGAGCCCTTCCAGTAAGCATTTTCCGTCAGGATGTTGAGAAGTTTATGCCGATATACATTGGGGCAGTGCTTCAACTGAAAACTGCACTGGATGCCTTTAAAATATGTTCTGAAATGCCAAGCGGTACATGAAGTACATCGTTGACACGTGAAACACATGCACTTCCCAAACCGCAAAAGAGTAACTTGACGACACTCTAAGTGGAGCCGATCTTTAAAGCTGTGTACCTATAGACATGTTTCTATTCATATACATTCACACTTCTCTTATGTCAACTGGTACTTTTACAATTGTCTTGATATGATTATATCCTAAGATTTCCGGGTATTTTGAGAGGTGCGTGTACGTGACAGGTGACACGTATACCCATATACAGGGCATATAGCACAGGGCATATCAGTAGCGCAAAAAACATATCATGTCGGCATTGTGGCTATATAATAAAATCTTGGACGACCAAAACTCGTACGTGTCTCAAAAGTTACTTTGGTTGTGTTCTTTTCAGAGTTTTGATACAAGTACGAGTACAAACTGAAATAAAAGTTATGCGCAAATGTCGTGATGCATGTGGATAGAAATACCCGAGAACGTTTAATTCGATGCTTAACAAGAAATTACCGAAACTACTTATACATGAATCATATATATGCGTCATAGAAACTGGGTAATTCTTTCTTAACGTGCACAGCTAGTTCGAAAAAAATGCAAAAGCACAAACTGCGCGCCAGTAGCTAATACCACCTCTACAATCGTTGAGAGAACTAAAGTTCAGTGGATTTGTATGTATATATCACCCATGCATTGTCTTTTAGCTAGATATGTACAGGTATGTAGAATAAAACTTACCGGTTTGTATACTTGAGTGGGAGTATGGCCGCTGTGTAGCCGCTCTTCTCTCCGAGCTAACCCGAAGCGTGCGGTCTGAGCGCCCCTGGCGGCGGACTGAGAGGCCCCTGACGGCGGACTGAGCGCACACGGGGGTACAGATCCTGTTCCTTCTTCTCACCAAAGGTCACTACAGTAAACAAACGATTCGATATCTCCGTTTTCCCACCAACAATACCTACAAAAACACAAAGAAGAAAGGTCAGATATATTATCCATCTAAATGCGTCATTACCTAGTCGTCTATTCTCCAGGCCCAGGGCACATACGTCGTGCGAATGTCGTGCGTAGTCTTGGGATAGTTGTGTATCATGCGTCCTGCAAGATTCAGTTGTCTTGTTACAGAAATGGCTGTCATAGATTCTCGTCAGCCACAATCGGTTCTAACATGTAGCCTGCTTGAAAATTGCGATTTTGGTATTAAAATATATTACCCGTCCGTCGATAGAACACATGTATGTTTTCTGGGAAAAGTTTTTGTTATTAGGTTATGATAAGGATCATTTTTCCTTCTACAAAGGATTTCTGTTTGTATGATTTTAATGATAGGCATCTCAAATATATCACCACATGTATGTATGTATAGGTGGGTAATTCGTAATGCGTTGATAGTTTGGATTTTTTCACGAATGTGCCGTATATCTACATTCTACATGTATATTTGGTTAATATTTTCCTTTTGACATTAAAAAAACAACTGTTTTCAAACTTTTTCTCAGTCCACTTATCTTCCTGTGACAGTGTAAGATATACATAAAGTACTACACACATACATTAATACATGCTACATTCGACAGGTAATAATGTATATAATATATTCATTGCTTTGTAAAATGAGACTGGCACTGGCGGCAGAGAATTGTGTACTAATCAATTTCCAATCAGGTATTTCATTAGCAGTTTATACATTTAATATCATCAGTAATTTACTTACTCTGAAACGTCACTCTTCACAATTCAACAATTAGCAATACAAAGCAAGAAATTTGCACGTTTTTTTCCTCAACTGACAATAAAAAGCAGTGTCCAAAACTTCATAAAATCACTCTATCAAAGGTATCCGATGCTATTTCAGGGCAGCAAAACTAGAAACATTCTGAATAAGGCAATCTTTGTGATATTGACACATACTGCTTCTCATTGGCACATTTAAATCAGCATTTCATACTTTGAGCATTCAAAACTGCAGAAACAAGCCCCAAGATGAGTCCTTTATTTTCTGGGTGGTATCCTAAAAATCAGTCTAGTAATAATTTTCCGTCAGAATTTTTGAAATTCCGTGAGGGTGGTGTGTGGTTTCAACTCAGTAACCTATGTAGATAAATGACTAGAATATTGACTATGAAAAATTGGGTTTCCAAGCCCTAAAAACTGCATTGGATGCCTTTAATACACGATGTTGAACGTATGGACTGCTATGCCAGTGTATCACGCGTAATCTAATATTATCCACCGAAAAATGCTTTGATTTTCGTTCAATTCGTCGGGCCTATGAAGTATTTGCTGATATATTTTCCCGATGTTGTTAATTGTTTCCGGACGTTCTGTTCTTTATAATAATACCTGACTTCCAAAGACTAAAGTAGCATTGGCGTGCCCTAACCTTAAGTACTTATACAGAACGTCCAGATTGCTTTGAAACTGAAATCTATATGTTAAGTTTATTCTTTCTATACTTCTTTTTAGCAAGGAATTTTGTGTTGGCAAACGTTAACCCTTCATACTCTCAGATAACGTTGTACATCAGAGATCACTCTGTGCCCTGAAACTTTTTGTAACTCCCTTGGTTTCACGGTGCCATACGGTGGTACCCATTTACCGAAGTGTTGCGGGGTGTCCCTTCGGATAGGGTTTGATGTCGTGCCCGCCTGAGAGAAGAATATGCCCCGGTTACTTACCCTCTAGTATGTAAGCTCCCTGCATGGTGCCATGATATAGCGACGCCGTACGCTACTCTTATCTCAAACTTAAAACGGCATAATTCGCAACGCTCTCGGCAACTTTCTTATCTATAACCAACCCTAAAGCATCGTTATTGACATGAACAATTGTTTTTGAATACTCAACAACTGTTTTAACATTTAGTACTAAAGAAAAACTCTAAGTGTGGTTCATTTGACGTTAGCTGTACATTCAAATTCGATAACATGAAATCGATTTTTATAAAGATACGCCAGTGTTTCTAGCATATTATTTATATGGTAGATATGAGAAGTAAGAAAGAAACGGATTTCTTCCAGTGGCAGAAAAAAAAGTTGTATTGTAACTATATGAAAGTTGTATAACCACGAAAAGTCATTAAAGATGTGTCGACAAATTGCCAACGCAAAAACTTGGACTCACTCAATTTTTCAGGGAAGCGGTGGATTGCTCATTCAAGACTGGAGTTGTACAGTCGAAAATTTGGGTGGGGCCATTTTTTGTGTTGGCAACTGCAGTTCAAATTTGACTTCTACCAACACATATTTCAAAATATGTGTCGACAAACTTAACATAAAATGCCTTTACCAACTAACTTACTTTGTCAGACCATATTTTAAGATCAGAGAAAAAAAATACGTTATTCTAATTTTGGGGGTTTGTAGGGAGAGATACGCCTGGTATCCTACCATACCAGCCAGTAACTGTAACCTATACTCGTTTATCGCCCGATAACGTAATCAACTATCTACATGCCGGTTGG